ATATATATATATATATATATATATATATATATATATATATATATATATACTTTTAAAGCAATATATTTTAGGTTAAACTTCATTTAAATAGAGAAGAGAGTTGGATTTGAAATGTTAATCGTGCTTGCAGAGAAAGTCGTTACGATTCAATTATACTTGGTGGCATTAAAAATTACACCATTGGTAATTAAATGTATTCATCATATTTCTGATAATATAAGCCACTAGACCTATATAATTATTGACGGAAGTTAACGGTTATTTATGCATTTTGAACAAAATTTACCCTGTTTTCTATTGTTCACAGAAGATTAAACAAATTATTGACATAGATCGGAATGTGATTAGTTGGACCAATGACCAAACATTGAAACGTGATTGTTTTCATAATTTGGTGGCCGCCGTGGTTATGACATGTGAGTGACAGATGCTGACTATTACACTACCAGAAAATGATAGAACACTATTTCATCCTCCTATCAATTAGTCAATATGAAATTTTCAATGCTTTTACCTGTTCATACTTAAAATCAACATGTAGATAATTTACGTTTTCAATGGACCATTTTATAAAAGAACACTAAAATGAATGCAGGTTGGAAAAAACTCTGCCAGTAGCCTAAATTATATAAGAAATAAGGTTGATTGCGTATGTGCAACCATTAGTACATTTAAAGATTTAGACAAATTCGGTGGCTAATAATGGAATAAATATCATTTAAGTTTTATTCTAATAGGTTGAAATATCTACTACCTCACTTGCTATTCAGTGATGTATTTATTAAAATAGCTTACAAAGGACAATTATTAAGTGCAACAGAATTTTAAATAAGATGAAGATTGATAAAGTCAGAAGGATCGTTAACTAAAATATGCTAAACTGAATTTTTGAATATAATAATCAACTTTCAAAAGATATTCGCAAAATGAGCACTTTTAATTTAATGGTATTTTAAAGTTGTGTTATAAAATTCAACTTCACATGTGACTGGATTTATATTGACGTGTTTCTACAGAATGAACAAAATGTATTAAAGAATCATGAAAAGCAGCTCCAAATTGCACTAAAAACTATGCTAGCAAAGAGACCTTTCATTCAATCTCATCAATTAGAAGTTCTGGAATTTTCTGAAACTTTGTGAATTTAAGTATGACATTTTCATTTTCTTAAAGTTTCTGGTAATTTTTCATTTTAAGTCTGACATTCAAATGAATTTGACATAGATAAAATAAATTAAGGTTTATAATCATAAAGTTTTATGAACTGTATATGGTATAATACTTTATAATAACTAAAGTTTGATTTGACAACTTAACATTTCTTTTAATATCTAACTTTATTTGCGGGCAGTTTGTGTTGTAATTTCTGGAATTATAACGGTCATGGTTTGTCTTACATTTACCTTTATGTTTTTCTTAGTTACCTATTTCTTTATTAAAAGCCTCAGTCAACATGCCAATGGTAAGCTTTCTTTAACTCTATAGTTGAGAAAATTAGTTAGTTGAACTTAAGAATGGTGAAACTTATAATGGGCATTTGATCGCCTGCGATGATTGGATGAATATTCATCTTAAAGATGTCATTTGCACCTCAAGGGTAAGCAACTGCTTTGTTTCTCTAATAGTTTTTTAGGATGGCGACCGTTTTTGGAAAATGACTGAGTGTTTTGTTCGCGGGAGTATCATTAAGTACTTGCGAATTCACGAAGACGTCCTCGATAAAGTTCAGGAAGATATGCAAGCCGCTAGAGCACGCAACAGAGAACTTGGTGGACGAGGAGGTGGTGGCGGTAACCGCAATAAATTCAGAGGTATGGTTTCATTTTTCTAGAGAACTTTTCTCTCTTGTGGCTTTCCGAATTTACTCTTACATTGGTTCGTATTTCGGCTGTAAATATTACTATCAAATAGTAGGCGTTTTGATAGTTATCATTAACCCTTTAGTTGACTTCAGGCTTCACAGAGGGTAAGGAACATCATTGTGAAAAAAGTTGAAAGTTGGGGGGGGGGGGGGGGGGGAGGAACAGAAGAGTGATTCAAAGATGTAGAAGAGACAGACACAAAAGTAGAAAAAAGGGTGAGGTGAGTACTGTGAAAGTAGTCGAATGTGACATACAGTGGGATGATGGTAGTTTGAAGTCTGAAGTCAACTGCCAATTAATGGACTTTTTTGCCGTATGAGTATACTTTGCCCAGGGTGCATCATGTGGAGGTAAGTCTATTGCACACCCCCGGCTGCAAATATAGACCTATGCTTTTTAACCTGCACTAGCCACCGCAATGAGCTACCGTGGTTATCTAGACTTTATTTCCTTTTAGGTGGTGGTGGCCGTGGTGGTGGAATGAACCGTGGTGCCAAGTTTGGTGGAAGTAGAGGACAATAGGTATTTAATAAAATACATTGTATTAAATTTGTAAATAAACTCCGCCGTAACCATGCTTTGGCTTCATACTGATTTCAGTCATTTGACATGCTTTTAAACAGTTTGTATTAATTCTTTCTGAATTAGGAGATCCACCCTTCATATTCATTCGTGTAATTTGACTTAAATATTAGGTGCTTATTTAAAGATTATATAGAGTATACGAATTGGACGATAGGGCACATGTCCTTTAAATTTGGGTACATTAAAAGGGGCCTATAGGGTTCTGCCATTTAATTTTCTACATTTTAGCGTCCCTTCACGTTTCGATTGTCATTTTGAACGTCCTTAAATTTCGAGTAAATTCGCGGAAGTATAAATTTTGTAGCCCCAAAATGGATAATGGCAAACCAATTTCTTTCCACGATTACTAACTTAAACTAACACTTAATATAAAAATCCGTCATTTTGAAAAGACTGGGGGAAGGTTTATGGATTTATTTACTATGGTGATGGTTTTATCCTGATCTGGTATCAAACCATGTGCTGAGCATCTACTTGGTTCTAAAATTCACTTACGGTTAAAATATGCTGCAGCTGTTTAATTCATGCTCAAAATTAGAATTATTGATTTTCACTTATTGACGAGGTTATTTAATAATCGTGCATTCGTCAGTTAGACGCGCCTTTAGCGTTTTCTGGAAAAAAATCGGATTTTTTTCCTAAGGAAAGTTATAAACGCTATGCAGTGCGGAGGAGATTACAATAAATACCAATGTGCCTACGAATGTAGCTGTAGGCCAGCAGCTATAAAACAGAACGATAATCTCAAAATTCCTGATGGTAAAATGTCAAATCAAACACTCTATAGGGCTGATTATCGTGATCGCGACTGTTGCAGACCAGATTTAGTCAAACAGCTCGATAACTTGACTATTCCTGATGGCCAATTATCGAATAAGACAATGTACAGAACTGATTATCGTGAACAAGATTGCCGTAGACCAGAGGCTACGAGGCAACGCGATAACCTAGAGATACCAGATGGCCAACTATCTAATAGAACGATGTATAGATCTGATTATCGGGAACAAGATTGCTGTAGACCTTCAACTGCGAAACAGCTCGATAATTTGCAAATTCCTGATGGAAAAATCTCAAATCAGACATTGTATAGGGCTGATTACCGGGATCGCGACTGCTGCAGACCAGATTTAGTCAAACAGCGTGATAACCTAGAAATCCCAGATGGCAAATTATCAAATAAAACAATGTACAGAACTGACTATCGTGAACAAGATTGTCGTAGGCCAGAGGCTACAAGGCAGCGTGATAACCTAGAAATCCCAGATGGCCAATTATCGAATAAAACAATGTACAGAACTGACTATCGTGAGCAAGATTGTCGTAGACCAGAGGCTACAAGACAACGCGATAACCTAGAGATCCCAGATGGCCAATTATCAAATAAAACAATGTATAGAACTGACTATCGTGAACAAGATTGTCGTAGGCCAGAGGCTACAAGGCAGCGTGATAACCTAGAAATCCCAGATGGCCAATTATCGAATAAAACAATGTACAGAACTGACTATCGTGAGCAAGATTGCTGTAGACCTTCAACTGCGAAACAGCTCGATAATTTGCAAATTCCTGATGGCAAAATCTCAAACCAATCACTCTATAGAGCTGACTACCGTGAACCAGATTGCTGTAGACCTGCAACTGCAAACATGATTTGCAATCTGAAAATCAATGATGACGCTGATAATCGTGATCGCGATTGTTGCAGACCAGATTTAGTCAAACATCCCGATAATTTGACTATTCCTGATGCCCCGTTATCCAATAAAACAATGTACAGAACCGACTACCGTGAACAAGATTGCTGTAGACCGGAGGCTACAAGACATCACGATAACATTGAAATCCCAGATGACCCATTATCTAATAAAACAGTATATAGATCTGATTACCGTGAACCAGATTGCTGTAGACCTGTAAATGCTATTCACTATGATAATGTTGAAAATTGTGATGGTCAAATGGACTGCTGTAGGCCAGAAACTGTTAAACATCCTGATAACCTAGAAGTTCCCGATGGTCGCTTCTCTAATACAACAATGTATAAATCAGACTATCGTGAACAGGACTGCTGCATACCAAGTAATTCCACGAACTATCGAGCAGACTTCAAGGAAACCGACTGCACTCCGAGCTCAGTTTGTCAATTCACGAAACATGTACCTTCTGTCCCAAACGAATTCTCAGGTTCCATCTGCTGTTGTAACTCTAATACAGCGGATACAAACTAGAATACACCTGCAAGAAACTATTTTTAACGAGAAGTAGACAGATAAGCCTATTATTCAAATTAATTTATGTGCAAATGTCTACTCATATAATAATAGTAGTCTATTAAGAGAGAGGTTTTATTTATCCATTTTATCTGATATACATTTTGATGCGTATGCTCTAAGCCATCTTTTAAACTAGTAGCATTGATTAAAGGTTGGTAAAACTCTCAACTAATACTAAAATTGGTGTTCCTGTTGAACAGGGTTGAATGAGCACCATCATTGATCGATACCACCTCTTAAGGTTTAGGAAGTGGTTATGAAGGAACAAGAATATTTGTTTCCAATTTAATTAACTAGTTAAAATATCAAACGCAGCCATTGGTTTAGGAGAGAGTCACTTCCCCCTCTAGTTGGGGTGGGAGTTTAGGATATTTTATCAATTTAAACGAAATGTACTAACGGGGATATTAATAGTGGAGATGTAAATTAAAAAGGGTGGAGGGGGAGTTGGAATATTTGATCTTGTAGCCAAGATTTCTGTATAGTTCCAGCTGTGGTTGAGGATTCATTGTCCTAAAAGTCTCATTTCAGGAATGAGGTACGTGGATAACAATTTCAATAGATGATGGCTTTCAAGAGTTAAGATTTAGTTTTATTCGCATTTTCGTTAACTCAAATTTCACTATCCGGTCTAAAGTCGTAGGATAGTGATAGGAAGCATAAGTAAGGAATCAGCAAGGCTTCAGACACTGATCGGGGTTCCATTCTCATTGTTAGCATCACATAACTATTATTTGGCATAAGTAGGCTGAATATTTTCTGCCAAGGTAGCAGGTTGGTATTTAACGTTGCAGAGCTCATCCATATTCGATATAAATGATTTTTAGATCAATGAATTGCATAGATCGCATTTATACATCCTTCTGCATCATGTAAGAAGCAGGAAAGAGGTATAGAAAAATTAATGGTGAAATCGATTGGAATAGAGAGCATTGAAGAAGGCCATAATTTAGAAGTCGGAAAGAGGTCAAATTACCTTATCATATTTACCATCTTCTGAGACACAACAATGGAAAAGAGAAACTAATAAAAACATTGTTCTTGGCAGGGACTAAGTAATGGGCCTTTCCATAGACTGATGAGTTCTAGTTGAAAGTGAACGAAACCAAGGACTCAATGACAAAAACCACTAAATAGGATATTTGGTTGAATTTCAAAATATGGGACAACAGGTACAGTTGGTTAATTTATGAGGCTCTACCAACTTAAACTTTTTAACAATTTAATCCCTGGTTGGTTAAGAGTGTAGGTTGCTAGAGACTATAAAGGATAAATTTGCGTTCTTTAGGATGGTCATTCAACTGAAATGCTAAGACTGTCTATCTAATCAATAAGAACCGAAGATTGTAGGCAAGCCTTTTATGGAAACCAAATAACGATTCACGAATCTTGAATTTGGGAAAAAACGACGTTTTAGAAGACAAATAATTTTGAGTAGTGGTGGTACTTCGTTTCGGAGAAAGTGGAGACTGTTTGGCTAAGTCAAAGCCAGCTTTCAAGGATATTAAGTGAACAATCGCAATGGTTGCTACTTTTAGAATGTGTTTGACATCGTAAGAAAATGAAAACCCCGACTCAAACAAAACTTTAATAATTGCAGTCTACTTTGGAGTTTTATTTACTTCATTGGATTGGACGAAAATGATCACTGGTTGAAAACCAAAGTGACAAGGCTCTAGCTCGGGATAAACAATGTCAGTGGGTTGTTTTTAAGTCGTTTACTCCTCTAATCAAAACTTGGATACAACTCCTTACTGACACCTTGACAGTTACTTGGGGGCAAAAATTGTTACCATTGTAATGGGGAAGTATCAATTTTAAGTTATTAAGGGGAATTAATAGTAAAAGTTCGGACTAAATATCAAGGAATTTCAGTTGTGACTATCGGCTCCTCTTGACGAATCACTTTCTGGGGGGGGGGGGGGGGGGGGAGGGAATTAAAGACTGAAATCAATCAAACTGAAAATATAAATTTGTTAAATTGACACTGATAAGTTAGATGAATTAAAACTTAAAACTAACTACTTTTTCCTTCATGATACCTCTAAGGCTCATTTCGAATGGAAATTACAATTGACGCGATATCGATGAATGGACTAATGGAGGTCAACTAACCAATAAGAAAACTAAATATTGTAGAAAAAGTGCGAAAAATTGGGAATGATGAGGAAATATTGGACAAAATGTCCCAGTTATATCATCCACTACCGGAAGGAATTCATATTTTACTGGCAAATATTCGGCTTTTGGAAGTGGTATCTCCTTCACAAAAAGTTGAGAAATTCCTCTAAAGTATAGTGGATGTTTATTTTTAAAGCACTATATTAACATAACCATAATGGCTGCGTGGCGTTCATAGTACAAATCTACAAATTCAGAGGATACTGATTCAATACTTGCTGACGCAGTCCACTGAATGACACAATCAGTGGTCTTGGTTAAATTTTGTTAATAGAGGGATTGAGATAAAACCACGATTTTGCCATTAAGTAGACGCATCTAAACATTGCGAAAAAGTCTCTTCAATAGGTCCGACGTTTAAATTACAAAATATTACCTTCCACATTGATTTAAAAGGCATGAATTTGCTGTATGTGCAATAATGAACTGCAAAAACTTCGATGATATATGTTCAGCATTTCTCTTGAAACTGCTTAAAAAATCAGCCGCTAACCTTAAGCCAGACATGATTGAATTAAGTTAAGAAGACGGTCTCCATGCCTAAATAATTGCCCGTACAGTGACAGCCAAGTTTAAACTAACTACCATCTTCTCTGAACGCACATAATCGCACTAATGCACACACACACGCACGCACTATTTAGCTTAATTTGTGAGGTCAAACCAATAAGGACTCATTCTACACTAAACACAGCGCGTTTGACTGACAATCAACAAGCAGTGGTCAGCGAATTAGGTGGCTTGGTTAAAGGATTCAATGCACTCACCTCTTCTGTCACAAACACGCACCTATTGCAAAGGTGTCAGAGTTCTGTTCACTTGACATTCAATTACAAAAGCCTATAGAAACATCATTCACGTCATCAAACGCCTGACTTGACTGACTTAAATAAAGCTAATTCGCCGGGCCCTCTGCTAGTATGACCGTCCAATATAATCAGGATGTTCTAACGGGAGGTCCCGTAGTATTTCTTCGACTTCTGCTTCGGTAAGACCCTGGTTTTGACAATGATTTGATGAATTTTGGTTATGACTTATGAGTATTTCTAAATTCCTCTATACTTTGTGAAGATAAGCTGATGGCGTTAAGTCAAAGTGCACATCCGCCACGTCAGGGAAAGTTGTTTCCTTCTAGTAATTTGAGTGGCAATATGAGAGATTTAAAATTCAAGTTTCCCACCAAAGCGACTCCCATTAATAGGCTGGACAAGAAATCCACGCAATTATAGATAAATACTTTGAGTAGTGATTTCACCTGAGTGTCTGGTTCAATTTAAGAAATTGATTTTTTGATTCAACTCAGAATCTGGTCCATAGTCCTCCATAAGAAAATTGTTATTCCAATCTCAAGGATTGCAACTTCCCTTTCGGTGGAGGTGGGTAAGAATTGCGGATTTGATCTGAATTTCGGTTTCGTAAGAACAATTTCTCACATTAGGAACTCAAATTCTGTTCACTTGCCCTTTTCATTAGCAATTGTGACCATGTGTAATAGGCAGGATGTGCCTTCTACCATTTCCACTACTTCATTCACAAACGAAGTACAAATAAGTGCATAATAAGAGTGCGAGCCCTAAAGAATCTACGCCTGTAGGTATTAACGGAAGTGTCAATTATATGTCACGTCAATGCCGATAATGTTTGCTTTTTAATAACGGAAGGTATCTAAACTACCGGCTATTTCGCGTAGAATATGACAGTAACAATTCAGAACCAGAAGAGTCATGATTAATCAGACTTCCAATGAAAATTAGTAAGTTGAGTTTATTTCCTTGACGCTTGGAATCCCAAACTTCAGGATCTAATGTCTAGACTCCTGATTGAAACATTTAAGCGTGATGATTCCCAGCTGATTGAGGCTGAATTGAGTCAATTCATGACGTCACGGCATATCCGGCAGTTCTGATAGTCAATAAAATGGGGAAGTATATTTGATTTTAATACTGTATAACAATTCCTTCCACCGTTTAAAAAATGCGTTTCAAAAGTGGCGAAGTTTCATTATGAATTCCTTTCCTACCATTTCTATCTAGTGGAGAAAATATAAGGCTAATTAACCAAGTACTTAATTTTCTTGCCACATAATTTAGGTAATAATGTACATGCTTTCCAAGCAAAAGAAGATTTTTCTGGAATTGAAAGCTAAATTTAAAACCCATTAGGAACAGCAATTGCATTGAACTGAAGAAATATATAGAGCTTTTTACACCCTGAGCTTAACAGTAGATGGCGAAAAACAATTTAAATCCATTGCTTAAATACGTGAACCAGCCACTTTATCGCAGAAATAATTTGGAGATTGCTGTGATGATTGTATTTTTGCTCGGAAAACCTTAGAAGTCTCTCTGCACTGCGGCCATGAGAAGAAACTAAGCTCGTAGAATGGGAAATAATTTAGTGTTTGGAAAGAGCAAGTAACAAAATAGAACTGAGAGCCAGAGAATCGGGGTAAAATTTGAGTTCCAGAAACATAAATTGTAATTTCGCCGGGCTAGCTTGTATGGAGGACTCAGTAGATTTCCTTAATACCCTCTTTTTGCATAAATCATAGCCGAAAAGATACTTGGAACATCACCAATTCCACCTCATTTCACTCGATGAGATCGAGGGCCATCACATAGACAAGCTCCCATTTCCATATACCTCTCAGCCGTGGCTGATACTCTTTAATGCGAGAGAATGATCTCTTTTTCAGGAAACACCATCCGAAATTGAAATTCTTTCATGCTGAAACCACACTAGCTTACATTTTGACAATCAGATTGAATTGCGTG